GGTCAGAGTCCTTGAAATCGACACGTTTGACGGAGGCATTACGTACGAGACGCCGGTCCGTCTGTCGCATGAGGATGAAGTCGAGGCGGTGCTTCTCCTTCCCCTTGTTGGAGCTCTGGAACGTATGCTGCACTCCTCCTTTCGGTGTCCGGAAGTAGGTGATGAGTGTTCCGAGTTTAAGAAAAAAATTGCAAACAATCAACGATCATGCGAACTTTTTCCGTTTTTTTTTTCGAAGGACATGCATGCGATTTGCAACTCGCACCAAACAGACGGCCATCAAGGCGCTCTGTCTGTGCATGTCCACGAAGGTGCTGAGTACAATGGTAGTACTGCACCCCATGGGGTAGCAATCCCCCGGCCCTCACTTTCTGGAAAGCCAGCGGTCGCACTCTTTGCATTCACGAAATGCGAAAAGCGTGCGTGACGCACACACGCATGTTGTCGACAGACTGCACAAAGAGACATTTTTTTGTTTTTTTTTTTCATGTCGTCGCATAAATACCAGCAGGACCAATGCCCTCGCATGACGCTTCATTCACGCAGCAGCAGTACACGACGGCGTATCGTTCGCCCAGTGATAGGCGGCAGCTGCTGTCAGCAGCGGTTGCGTTCAAAAACTACACTTTCAAGAAAAAAAACAACGAAAAAAAACACAACGGGGAAACATACATCCTACGGTTCCCACCTGTGCTTTTTTTGACCTGAAATTTTGGCACGAGCGGTTTTTTTGACCCGAGAGGTTACGCCGCCTCTTTCGGGTCAAAATTTCCAGGTCAGATTTTTCTGGAAGACGTGTCAAAATTCGGGGCAAATTTTTGTTTTGACACGAGGTGCCCCCGAAGCCCCCACAAAGCGATCAACTCCGCCTCCAGCTCGCAAAGCACTGCCGCACACCCACACACGTCTGCAAAAACAATCCCGGGAGCACATCGCACTCCTGCTGGTGCCAATCCGCGTCAGGGACGGTTGCGTTCATCGAGGGTTCGAGAAAAAAACAGGTCGAGGTTGGTCCGAAAACAAGCACAGGAGTGATTGCCAACATAACAGCAGTCGGGCGCCCCACCCGTGAAGGGGAGGTTTAGGGCTGCCTGTGTTGGGGGATTTGTTCTGGTAGCTTCCCGGGGTTAACGAGGCCGCGTGGCGGCGTGGTGGCTCATAGCGGATTCTACCTCGTTCAAGGCGCGCCATTCCCTCGGTTCGTAGCGTTTACGGGGTGGAGGCTCTCCGAGGCTCAGCCGTTAGGTTTTCGGTCTTGCGCTGAGTGTTTTTTTAAAATCGAGATTTCGCCGCTGCTGAGCTCCGAAAGGTAACAAGCGGCGAAATAAGTTCATGTCAAAATATCAACCGCCACTTTTTTTTGACCCGAGCTGCCTTGTGTCAAAATTCTCGGGTCAAAAAAAGGTGGGAACCCTACATCACCACTTGCTACAAAAAATCAACCGCTTCCACGACTCCTTCCCCGCCCAGCACCTCGCGAAGCGCGCCTTGCTCCCCCACGCCCCCTAGTACCGCGTGCTTCCCTACCCCCTCTAGCACCCCTTCCTGCTCCACGCCCAGCGCCCCTTGCTGCTCGACGCCCACGTCCAGTCGCTGGTGTACTGGCGCGAGATTTTTAGCTCCGGGGCAAAAAATCTCGAGGATCTCATCGCGCTCTTTCTCTGCCTCCTGTTTCTTGAGTGTTAAACCCTGGAGCTGCTGCCCCAACTCCGTCATCGCTTCCTCTTGGATGATCTTGTCCTCCGCCCGCTGCGCCCGTACCGTGCGCAAGTGCCCCTCCGCTATCACTCTGCCCCTCTGCTCGATGGCCAGCTCTGCCGCAAGCTCGCGTCTCAGTTCAGTCTCATTCTCCAGCAACTTTTCTTTTTCCCTCGCGTCTTCCTGAACCAACTTGTGTTTCGCGGCAGCCTTGCGCTTCGCCGCGGATTCCTTTTTCAACTTGTTCACGTGGGCCATGCACTCTAGCTTCAAGGCTTTGTAGTCCTTCGCCTCGAGAGCCTTGTTGCGGCGAGCATACAACGCTACATCCAGCATCGTGCTTCCGATTCGCTCAGCATAGACTAGTTTTCTTGGACTCTTGCAAAATTGTTTTTTCGCTTCTTCGTCGACCATGCTTTTTTGTTTTCTCCTCTACCGCCCTTGCCCATCAGAGAGCCGAAACGGGAGTAGCTGTACCTCGACGGCAACGCCTTGGATCGGGGCGCG